GTGACGTGTGTGGTTGTGCTGCTGCCGTGGTCCTGCCAGATGCCTCCTGCTGCTGCTGCCATCATTAGTCATTAGTCATACTTCTACTGTTATTATACACATATGACTATTGTCACACAAGTATACTGTCAGATATTAATACATACTTTCAACATATTGTACCACAGTAGCCAGAACTATAACTATAATATTATTACTTTCATTAATGTTGTTGTAAGCTACTGTCATTACCTGCATCTCTTTCTCTGTCTCTCTCTCTGTCTCATTGTGTCATATGGATTACTGTTAATTTATTATGCTGATCTGTTCTGTACGACATCTATTGCACGTCTGTCCGTCCTGGAAGAGGGATCCCTCCTCAGTTGCTCTTCCTGAGGTTTCTACCGTTTTTTTCCCAGTTAAAGGGGTTTTTTTTGGGGAGATTTTCCTTAACCGCTGTGAGGGTCTAAAGGACAGAGGGATGTCGTATGCTGTAAAGCCCTGTGAGGCAAATTGTGATTTGTGATATTGGGCTTTAAAAATAAAATTGAATTGAATACTGAACAACAGACCTGCCATACACACAGGTAACTAGGGATGCACGGATCCAACTTTGTCTCACCTGATATGTATTCTAATACCTCAGCTCTGAGCAGCTGCCAATACCAAGCACCAACGTGATACCCTTTACCCCAAATATCAAATCCGTTTACCTCACTGTGTAGATGTTATTGGAATCATTTTCTGTAAAGTAACATGAGATCAGGGAGGGCTGTAGCACTGAAATTGAGTTGGCAGCTGACTGTGACTGAATGACAGTAACTGATAGTGGAAACATTGACAAAGAAGCTGTGTTAATGTGGATCGGTCAGGCTGTCAGGCAATCCTTTCCGATAAATATGAACTAACTATCAACTTTTCTGACTTAAAGTTCCAGTGTGTAGGATTTAGGGGTATTTATTGGCAGAAATTGTATATAATATTCATAACTATTGTTACAGGCTCACCATTTTTCCCGTCTAAGGGCGGTGGCCCTGTGGGTAAACTGTGAGGGTGTGACGTGTACTTCATTGTGTGAGTGGAGGGAAGCAGCCCCCTCGTATCATGGTAAAGACGTCAGGCGGCAAAGAGTGATGATAGTCAGCAGAATTAAGTGTCTAGATGAGCTCAGGGCTACTGTTCAACCTCATGAGAAGGCTGTGTTTATTGTTTTGTGGCGAAGACTGCAATAAAGCCATTGTTGGTGAACGGCACCTGAACACCTCGCCATCCTTCTTTCTGCTAGATGCTAGTTACCAGCTAATAACGAGCCAAGCTAGAATTAATGTTAGTAGGCCAGCATGTTCCTAATTCTGGTTCGGAGCCAGTAAGCTGTCACTGAGAGAGGTAACACTATGTTTTGATTAGTTTATAATCACCTAAAAATCAAAAACATTGTGTTACTTTTCCTTGTAATAAGCCATAGATCTACATACGGTGCGGGTCCAGGCCCCCAGGAACTGTGCTGAGCTTTGACGCCAATTTTACAAAGTGGTCAAACATGGAATTACAATTTCCAGGTACATCGTAATGCCATTGGACCCAAGAAGACTTATGAAGAAGAGATTTACATTGTGAAAGAGATGGTGTAAATAAGTGGATACATTTTTTTGAGCATCACAACCCTTGGGATTTGATCCATTTAGTCCGATAACATTTTGAAAGTGTAGGAAAGCTGCACCCATTAATGTTAGCGGAGGGCTAAACTGGAAGTTAGCCACTCAGCAGTGGCTTGGGCTCGACTGCCTTAAGTCTATAGTGTGCTTGCTCTTTGGGTCCCGCAATGTGGAAGATCCAGGTAATTTCATATCGCAGAAATTGAGCTTTTTTGGCTCCATGCACCACAAAGCAACTTTTATAGGAATGAATATGGCCCCATCAAGTTCTCTTAATACATCTATGAGTGGGTCCTTTCCGCAGAGTTCGCCATGTTTTTCTACAGCAGTCCAGAATGGACAAATCAAAGTCTAGCTCTAAATAGGGCCATTTGCATTTGCACGTCAGCCACTGTGGTTCTCCTGCCATGGTAGGAGTCGGCTCAGTTCTGCAACCTCACTGCTAGATGCCACTTAATCCTACACACTAGATCTTTAATAGGATAAGGCTGGCAATATTTCATATTGTTCTTATACTCAACAAATCCCGTCAAAAGATCAAACCCAATGAATAAACTGATTCTACAAACAAGTGTTACAACAATGTTCAGCTGCCTTCTTTAAAAAAAAACCGATGTATATGTGAGCTGTTTTTAAAGATTTACGTCCCCAGTAGGGACAAACAAGTTGTGGGTTGTGTGCCAGCGGAAGGTGATGAACCATCACACCGAATAACACCAGACTTATCATTTAAAAACCGAAACGTGAGTGCAACATCTGGACGGAATGGCTGAAGCCAACATCATGACCCAGTGGTGGAGACACACTGAAGCTCCTAAAACATCTTAGAAATGTCGTGTGTGCAGTGTTTTCTTGCAGCTTAAACAACAGATGAGCGTGTCTGTCAGTGTTTTGGGGGATAACTTACTGAGGAGCCTGTTCATATGGTGACACCTGGTGGACGTGCTTACTCATGATCCAAATGTAGTTGAACCATGATGAATGCAAAGTCTAATAAAGCCCCAATAAAATCATGCTGTGTTCTGACACATTCAGAATCTTTATTTGTGAACAACTTCTCCTCAAGCTGTTAAATGTTTGGACGTATGAAATGAAAACAGTCATCTGCTTTCATAGAAAATAGATGGCGTTTTATTTTTGTTTTTATTGTCTCAGTTAAGACTGTAACAGATGCAATTCACTAAGCTTTAGCTAATAAATCGAGCTACAGTGGAAAATGAATCTACTGTTATACTCTGCTGGATGTCAGTAAACGACGAGTTCATGTCAAAACACAAAAACATTCAACACAGGACTAAAATTACAAATGAAAACTCAGCTGAAAACAAAAAACTGAGTGAGAATGATATTTATCATAAATTAATCTCAACTCAAGCTCCACAATTTTTTTTTTTTTTTCCTGGCACTTTCAATCGCATCTCATGGTCTTCATCAGCAGATGACTCATCATCACCATCACCATGACAACTGATCAAACTACATTTGCTGAGAAGCCTCAGAAAAAGCTAGTTAGTGGACTGGTTTTAGGATTATTTTGTCAGGGTACTTCTACCTGCATCAAAAAAAAAAAAAACTTTCAATGTGTGAATTTTTTGTTACAGAAGAAACTAAAATAAAATGAATCCCAGCTTTTCTTTTTAAAGTTCCCCAAATCAAATCAGTAAAACTGTTTCCTCTGCAGCTGACACACGTTCATGTTATCAAACCTAATCAGACCTCGAATGTGAATGTTCACAGTCGTCTTCATCGGTGTTTGATCCATCTACTGTGGTGAGTGTTCACTGATGCTGAGCTCCCTCGTTCTTGCTCTCTTGCCACATCTTCTTCCTCAGCTCCAGCTCAACATCGGTGAATGAAGCAGGACCCCAGTTAGTGATCCTCTGAGGTCCTTTATGACCTAAAGGATCAAGTTAAAAGAGAAGAGAGGGAGGCCATTAAACAGGATGGACTTACAGACAAATCACTCATGATGCCTTATGTTGTACTGGCACTTAATGCGTGCAATAATAAAGCAGAAAGCAAAACATTGTTTTGGCTTCATCTTTGTATGATTCCAGATGTGAAACAACTATAATTCAGTACATAAAGTTGAGGCTATAAATGACTCTGTATGGCCAAACTGTTGCTACAGAATTGAAGGAACACCATGTTTTGCATGAACACCATGATTTCACTCAACTGGAACTAAGATGCAAAGTTAAAACCATAGAAAAACTGTCCCAGAACCAAGGACATGAGATTTGTTTCAACACTGCGGGGTAGAAACATGTGAAACAAGAGATTTGGGGGTCTTTGAAAGAAAATTTTGAGCATCAAACACTTAACTTCCTGCATTCTGAATTTTTCTGCACCAATTTGTGCCTTTTCTGCATCACTTTATAGTGTATACTTCTTAAAAGTAAAAGTCCCCTGCTACTTTCATGTTTTTATTGGGGGGAGCAAGTGCATTATATTTTAAATATTGCAGGGGACGTCTGCTTTGTCCCCCCGCCAAAATCTACACCCATGCCCAGAACATAAATAGCATGTTGACAGCAGTGTCCATATACTTTTGGCCATATAGGGTATATTGCTGCAACTTTCAGTGTAAAGGTGTTTTGGTAAATTAGGCCTAAACTCCAAGGTGGACTGGCCCAATCTAATTTTTTGTATAACTGTTGGGCAGCTAATATACAGAAGCTGGCATTTTGGATGCAAGCACCTCTGACTACTAACTGGTGTCTGTTGGAGGCCAAATCTTGCCGAACGACATCACTACCAGCTTTAAGATGTTCATCTCTACTTCTACCCTTGTCTTGGCACACATCCAACCCAAAAGTAATCTCCACCTTTAAAATCTGGTCTCAGTTCCAGCAGCACTTTGCTCCGCTATCAAATAATCATTTCAATCAATCAAATCACAATTTGCCTCAGAGGGCTTTACAGCATTCGACATCCCTCTGTCCTTAGGACCCTCCCAGCGGATAAGGAAAAACTCCCCCAAAACAACCTTTAACGGGGGGAAAAAATAAAAATAAATTGTTTGCCCCCTCGGTAATAGACTGTGCTTTCTTTATATGGGAACGAAAGGGACTCAAGTCTGTTAGAGACCTCTGACGTTTTCTCTGACTTTCAGAACCTGGAAGATAAACGTGCTCTATCTAGTCACAACCTTTTCCAGTGTTTTCAAATAAGACACTTTGTTCAAGCTCCATGAATTTGAAAGTTCTTAAATGACAGATACATGTGTGTAATGTGGAATCTTAACCTATGTTTAAAGCAGCAATAACTAACGAACAACGATCAGTGTCAATACCTGGCTGGATGAGACGCACCAGCCCCTCGTGATGGGCCACCTTGTCCTTCCAAGTCTTGGTCTTGTTAGCTGCTCGTTCAAGCTTCACTGTCACCTTCTGTATAAGACAAAGAGGAGAGATCGATGAAATTAGTTTGAGTAAAAGTCAAATGAGAGGACAGCAGGTGTATAAGTGGGATGAGGGAAGTTTTCAGACAGTTGAAACAGCTCAGCCAGCAGGGGGAGCAGCTGCCGATGAGAGTATCGAAAGCATCAAAGCCTGGCACTGAATGTCAGCTCAGATTCATATTGTAGTAAACTTGTTTTTTATCTTGCTCCCTGTGTTTCCTGGCCTGTGCTCCACTGTCATTATCTTATGGAAAAAAAAACACAACACCAAATAGCTAATCTTGAAAAATGAAATTCTGATGTATATCAAATGTGTCTATATGTCTGAGAGTTTTTATTTTATTCTTGAGCCGTCCTGTTCCTGCTGGTGTTTAAACATTTAACAACGTGACTTTGGCCTCTTTTGTTAAAAGACTAGATTCTGTGGAAAACACGACTCTAATTCTAAAGTATTCAGCAGTCATTTCAGCAATGGTACTGAAAAGTTTCAAACAATATACAGCCCTAATTTCACTAACTGGTTGCAGGTCAGCTGACACGATGTTGTTTCATTTGTTGTTCCATAAACTGAACATAATTCATAAAAATCAAGATCAAAATCATCAAACAAGAAACAACAAAATGCCACAATAGTGAAGTATAATACAAGCATGCCTGTGGGTAGAAAAGAGTAGTTTTATTACAGATAAAAGGGGGGAAAATATATCAAACACTATCCCTGATGCCACAGGAGAATCCCCCCTCCCAGATAAAGGCTCTGTCGGACTGTTCAGACCAGTGCAACCCTCTGCATGTGTGTTCTGACCTCATACTGCTCCAGCGCTCCCTGCCGCTCCCTCTCCAGCCTCTCCAGCTGCAGCATGGCTGCCTGCAGGTCTCTCTCCTTGGCCAGCTGCTCGGCCACCAGCTCCTGCTTCTCAGCCTCGGTCTGAGACAGCGCCCTCTGCTGCTGCAGGTGGATCTGCTCCAGCTCTGCCCTTTTGGCTGCCTCCTCCTCCAGCAGACTGCGATGGGAGACACAGCAATGATGTCAGAACAGACAGGTAAGTGTGGAAAAATCCTGATCAGGCTGAGGACAGATTATCACATCACCTTTAGACAGTCAGGAATCCCACACTAACAAAAACGTGCAAAAAATATACAGCAAAACAGTCATGACTATACACTGTGCTGTGAGACCATTTCACTCACTACTGTGACATCATCCACAAGGTTTTTTTTTGTGTGTGTGAAGAAATGATCATTTCTAAGGTTGTGTATTTGTGACATTGTACTGCCCTTCATTGTGCTGCATTGTTTAGGGTGTTATTAGGGATCTATATTTTTGTTTTTTTGTCTGATTTTGTCTGATTCAACAAAATTAAAAACACTCAAATCTGATTTTAAGTCCATAAATGCCCTTTGCAAACCAATGTAAAAATGTAATAATAAAAATAACATTGCAATCACTATGAGCAGATAGTGTCGATGGCCAGTTATGGCTAGGAAAATCACTGCAGACCCCTCTCATGTCCTGTGTTTTAAAGGACTGCACTTGTATAGCACTTGCCTAGTCTTCTGACCACTCAAAGCGCTCTCACACTACATTTACCCATTCACACATTGGTGGCCGAGGCCCCCGTGCAGGCTGCCACCTGCTACTCATTAACCACTCACTGGCACTTGCACACTGATGAAGCAGCCATCTTGTTGGGTTCAGCATCTTACCCGCTGGCTGGAGGAGCTGGGGATTGAGCTGCCTATCTTGCAATTGAGCGAGCCACAGCCACCCCCAATTTGGTGGTGTTTTTTGGTTACTATGCAGTGTTTTGTTTGTTTGTTTGTCTGTTTTTTACTGGTCCGCCCCACTTGAGATCAGACTGAGCTGCATGTGGCCTGTGAGCTAAAATGAGTCAGAGGCTACAGGGTTCCTATTTAATACAGAAGGAGATACCTGAATAGCTGGATCTCTTAAACTCAGGATGTAAGGAGGGTGTGAAATGAGGGCAGTATTTTTATGTGGCAGCCTTTATGTCCAAGACAAACTTCCCTAAAGACAAATAAGGTAATCTTGTATTTGGAAACATTTTTGCGACTAGCCAGGTATGTTAATGAGCAACATTTCATCATTATGTATCATTATAAATAGAAAACATATTTTCGCTCAGCATTATTTTTCCTTAAAAAACATATTTGCTGTTTCAAATTAGTTATATATAAACAATTTGTAGGAGGCAGGGCTGCTTTACATCACAACACATCTCTAACAGTGCCTAAATTTAAGACTGCAGGTCTGTTTGACTGGTTTATATTATTTCACTGTTGTGACTTCCTGTATGTATCCGAACACTGTCCAGTCTGTGTGTGTGTGTGTGTGTCCGAGACCTGGCCTGCAGCTTGTGCATGGCCTCCTCATCCTGCTTGGCCTGCCTCTCATCCTCCAAGGCCTCCTCCAGCCGGTGGTACATGTCCTCCAGCTCCCGGACGCGCTGCAGGTACTGCTCCAGTTCACTGGACTTCTGAGCCACCTGCTCCTCCATCTGCTGACGCACCTGATTGAGTCAACACACACACACACACAGTGTTGCATGCTCTTACTCATTAAGCTCTTGAAGGTGGCAATGAATTTACAAATCCACTGCAAATCTACACATTTGACACTTCATTCTGACATTTGCTGTATTTTTGCTTCTACATCCACTGATGTGCAGTAACATTTCTTTGTCTTACAAAGGCATTTATCCGTCAGTTCCCTGAAGTAAGACAGTGATTAATACGTCTGTGCATGTGACACTGAGACCAGAGATGACTCAGCATCATGGGATATACAATTTAAAATTTTAGCTTGTGTTTCCAGGAACGATGGAGCCACAGACGGCTGATGGTGACTTCATCAGAAAATAACAAGACAGTCTTGGTTCACCAAAGCTCATCAGCTTTCTCTGTGAACTTTCTAAAAACCACGTGTCACCACAAATGCAGTGTCGACATGTATCAGCCCACATGACTGGGACAAAGGAGCAGAGTTGTGGGAGGCTGACACAGGCACGTTTGTTACCATTTTCTCTCTCTCCAGGTCCAGTCTGTAGCGATCCTGCAGGTCTATCTGAGTCTGCTTCCTCCTGAGCTCCTCGTCTGCCGCTTTAGCCGTGGCCTCTTCCATTTTCTGAGAAGCACAAAAGAGGGAAAGGCTGTTAACTCTCTGCTTTACTGGAAGCAAAGTCAGCCTATAAGGGAAATCTTAATAAAGAACATTAGTTTGGTGAAAGAGGAATCTGTGGTTCAGTTTGCATTTCTCGGTCAAGATTAATAGAGCACTTTTCCTCTTTCCTTGTAGCAAGTATAATATTCTACGTACAAACACCAGGATGCATTTAAGCACTCCAAAATGTGATGTGGATTTCTACATAATTAGTGATTGGCCTTGTAAAGAGAAATGACGGTTTGACATTTTTCAAAAAAAGGCCATCTGGCAAAGTAAAAAGAGAAGTGAGACACTGCAGCTCTGAAACAACTGAGCTCATACGTCTAGCACTTCACTAGACACAGGTGTCCCTGAGTGATAAACACTATTGTTTGCATACCAGGTTTTGCTTCCCTTTTTACTGTGAATGTTCTGCAGCATCATGTGTGTTGTTTTTGATGTTGTGGTTGTTTTGTAATAAAATTGGCGTTTAGGTTATTTTAAACCAGAGTGTGTAAAAATGAAAGGAAGTGGACAAAAACTCAAATTTAACTTGAAAAACTTGAAAAATCGCAATCTAGGATTTTAAAAAGCTACTTGGACTAACCAACTATAGCTCTACATTTGCACCTAAAATAAAACAAGTACTTTATTCATACTTATCTTTGTTTAACGTGTGCCTTTATGACATTATGTGATATACTTTCATTTAAATGATTGGTCCGAAAGGGACCAATATATAGCTTAAAAAGAAAAAACATACAGAGCAAAAGAAAGAACTTCCTGTGGGAGAGAGATTGTTTACTACAATCTGTACATTCCAATACCCATACCACCATACTATATAGTATGCCAGAAAAAGATTTAGTATATCCCAATACATAACATATCAAATGCAGTATGCCAAAAATACCAGGATGCCCTACTACAGCCGGTCCGATTTCGCAGTCTGCAAGCCAGCATGCTTCTCTGGCTATTCTGACCCACAATTTTCTGCACAGCGAAAGATACGCCACATCGACTGAGCTGCAAACAGATGCCAGCTGATTGACAGTCATCAGAAGTTCCATTGATGGATGACAGTGCATTCAAGCAACTGATAATCATTAATATTACCAATGACAAAAGGACATTGTTATAAAAATAATGACAGAGAACTGCGGATGTAATTCCATTGTCGCAAATATAATATGTTACAATCTACAATCTGTGCAGTTATAACTTTAACTCCATACATTGCAAAGTAACAACAGCAGAGCTCTACAGGTTGATCTTTATCTCTGGCGAACTCGTTGAGTGGCGTTTTTCTTTTATCTTCAAGGTTATGGGTATAAAAGCAAGAGGGTCTGATTTCGTGTTTAGATGGGTGGATACAATTTCAGAGTTTAAAAAAACTCCCTACGTTGCAGAACCAATAGTAAATCTGCAGGGCGGTCCTTCGGTGGCTCGCTGAACTCATGTGCTTGTAAACATGGTCCCACTAGAATCACGTGTAGCGGTACAAAATGGCTCAGCCGCGCTCGCAGAGAACACCGTCAAAGTTAGCGGATGTTTGTCGCGTTTGCGGTGACACATTCTCACCAACTAAAAGAAAGAAACATAATCTTTGACAAGGCCATGACTCATCCGTCCGGCCGGACTATAGAGGGAATCGCCTTGTTGTTTACAAATACTTCTGGGTAGAAAACCAGCAGAGCTTTTAGCTATATATATATATATAGCCTGTATATCACATTTTTCACATCACTGTATCACCGTTTGGACTAATCCGATGTTTGTAAAGTCTATAAACACAATGATTGAACAAACATTACTATTTCTGTGTGCACGTGTAGCTGGGCTAACCGTTAGCTGTTAGCCCTGTTAGCCGTTAGCTTTGTCTGTAATAGGTAATAACTCATTAAACGGTCCGTGAAAAAAATATTTTTTCCAGCAGATATCTTAGTTACAACATGATTGAGCCAGCAAAGCAGTTTTGTGTTGCTATGTGTGGTATTTATTCAGTTTTGGGAAATCACAATGTCTAGAAAGCATCAGTGGCTGCAGCTGACAGGGACAGCTAACACTAGCAGCAAAGCTAACATCAGGACGTCATCTGTTAAAAGCCTCCCGTTGTCGGATACGACATGAAACTACTCCAGTTAGCTCAATCATGTTGTAACTAAGACATCCGCTGGAAAAAATATTTTCTTCACGGATGAGCACATGTTTGATAAAACGGAGTTAAATCTCTCGGCATCCATTTTGTGTGTTTGTTTCCTTGTGGATGAGAAAAGGAGGCGTGCGCATTTCCGAGAAGGCGTCAAAAATGCAAGAGGCGTTGCTTTGTTGCCGGCCGTTTTCGCCGGTGTGTTAAACACACTTTAGAAAGGAGTGTCCCCAGACTATCAGAAGGCGGAGATCTCTGATTGTCTGGTGGTGAGACTAGACGAGGACTCATCTCTGTCCCCCACCTGTTTTCTATCACGTCTGTCTCGTTAGTCCTTCCCTGTTCCCAGAGTCTTCCCTTCACACCTGTTCTGTATCAGTCTTGTTGTAAACCAATCTCCATTTACCTCCTTTTGCCTGTATCCTCCTACTTCAGCTGTGTCTCATTCTTGTAATTGGTTTTCTGTGTATATATACCTGTGTGTTTCCCTTTGTTCCTCGTCAGTTCGTCTGTGTTCATTCTTGTGTTCTTGGTGTCGGTCCCTGCTCTGTTTCCTGCCTAGTGTCTTGTGTTCTGTTTTTAACCTGAGTTCATCGTATTATCCTGGTTGGGTTTCAGTTAGTTTTGGTTCTTCTGTCATTTGGACATTCAGTTACCTGTCTGTGCTGGATGTTTTTTATCAGCTGCATTAAAGCTTGCTTTTTGTTAAAACTTGAACCTGCCTGCTGCTCTGCATTTGGGTCCTTCCTGGACCGATCAATGACAAGCTGATCATCGAGCAGTACCTTCCTCATATTCTCCAGCTGTTTCTGTTTGGTCTCATTGGCCATCTGGAGTTGCTTCATCTTCTCAGCCAGGTCATCCTCCTCCGAGTGCTGCCTCTGCCGCAGCTCCCTGCGCCTCAGCCGGGCCTCACGGTGAGGAGACGGCAGCCCCAACCTCAGCAGCTGGATGCATGTTTGAATAGCTGCCATGAGAAGGAAACAAGACGAAATCACTGACTGATTTATGTCCACAACAACTGATGAATCAGTGATGATAACATTTAGAAATTCAAAGGACGACGATAAAGAAAATTAAGATGATAATGACGAGGCACAGAGCAGTAGGAAATGACTCCTCAGTACCTTGAAGCCATTCCTGCTTCTTCTTTTTATCTGATGCGCTGATCTCAAAGCTTTTATCAGTGCACTTGATGATGAGCAGGCATTTCTTCCCGTCTTTATCAGGCACAGACTGCAGGAGAAAAAAAATACAGCACTTCAGTCACATCCTACTATATGTACAAAACTATGAGGGCTTATAAAAATAAAAAGATCACTGCTGTTTAGGCCATGCTAATTCTATTTCTGTTCTTGAGCAAATGACAGTTTTATCATCAAATCAAATGATTTAGTCAATACAGCCTAACTGCATTACACACATTGGGTCTCATTCATGAAAAGTGAGTAAATCTGTGTGTAGATCTGCACATAAAAGTCTACGCTACTAAAAACCTACTCCGGATTCAGGAACGCTGCGGGAAACTCAGATTTGATCGTAAACACGTGTGTATGATCATGAATGCCAATCCATCGTAAAGTGACAGCACACTCCCGGTAATCAGCAATTAGCATAAATACCAAACCATGAATAGCCAATGACCACCATATAAGGAGGTGTAGGTGCATCCTGTCGACCTGTCAGTCATGGCGCAAAAAAAGAAAGAGAGAGAAAGAAAAAAGAATTTTTCCGAAGCGGCGATCGAAATAATTTTGGGTGAAGTGGACTTAAGAAAAAACATTTTATTTTCTTCAGTTAGTAGTGGTGTGACAGGGACAAAGAGAAGGACTGCAGGGAGGTAACAGATGCTGTTAATGTTGTCTCCGTGGTACAAAGAACCATGTCAGAGGTGAAGCGTAAATGGTTTGATATGAAACTGGAGGCAAAGAAACGCATAAGCACACGTACAGCGGTCACCAAACAAACAGAAGATTCATTTGTGGGGTTTTGAATGAAGTGGGAACGGGAAACCAGAGACGTTTTGTGCGTAATGGATAAACTCTAAATCAGTGATGGCTGTTGGAATGTAGAGCTATTTAACATTTATTTTAACAAATGATACGGATAACATATAGCTACAGCAGTTTTGTATGCATCGTCTTCAAATTATTTGAACCTCAATAGCCTGAAGCTCTGTTTTATAGAACGTAAATTAAACATTTTTCAAATCAGATTTATTCATTTAAATTATCAAAAAGCCACAAAAAAAACTAAACGTGTTGTCTCAAATAATTCTTTCAGCAGGCGCGTGCTCCTTCGTGGCTATTTTTGTCATGTTTAGATTACGTGTTTCAAAGGCATCTGTGTATTGTGTACATAACAGAGCGCAATATGAATTAAAATTGTAATTTCCAATAGTGAAAAGCAATATTTATGTCCCTTACTAAATTTACACAAGCACTACGAGTGGTCAGGAGCAGGAGTAGATTTTGTTAGTAGCTACGAAAAGATCAGAGCTACTAAAATATTGATGAATGCGGACATGCACGTAAATTTCCATCTGCGAACAGTTTACACACAAATTCCTTCTGCTCACGTTTCATGAATGAGACCCATTGGGTATACATACCAGTGGTTCCCAACCATTTTCCTCAAGGGACTCCTTCTCTATCTTTGAGTTAACTGATGACCCTGACTAAGTGACATATCCTCGGCATATTTCATATGATATCCAGTGAATAACAATAACAGAATTGATCAACTAATAAACTGTACAATTAACCAAAATGGTAATTGGTTCTGTTGGCTTCATCACACCATGACCTCCAGCAGGCACTGGGGTGATCTGCAGCCAAGTGTGAAGCTGTCGAGATGAGAATCAGCACCTCCAAGTCTGAGACCATGGTTCTCTGCCGGAAAACAGTGGATCGCCCCCTCTGGGTTGGGAGAGAGTTACTGCCTCAAGTGAGGGAGCTCAAGTATCTCAGGGTCTTGTACATGAGTTCAAAATAACAATTCCATTTAGTTTTTTTCACAAAAGTGAATGAAATGCTGGGATACAGGCCTACTAAAGTCTACTTATACCCCTTAAAGTCAACAAGGCCTTGCGACCTCCCATGAAGCTTTGACAACCCCTAATGGGGGTCTGGACCCTCAGGTTAGGAACCAGTATTATATACTAGAGTGTAAAGAGATAACAACACACCTCTACACAGCAGGTTCGGTCCAGGTTGATGTCTCCTTTCTTCTCCACAAGGTCCTCACTGACGTAGTATGACAGTGAGTTGGGTCGAAGGACAAACCAGCGCTCGGTCCAGTTCTTCCTCTTGTGGCCCTTTTTCATCAGGTATCCCTTTGAAACACAGAAAACACCTGAGTTGCCTAGCTATTCTGCCAAAATCACTGTGATACATCAAACACAACAAGGTCTGATACTTAGATAGATAATTAATTAAGCAAGCAATTCATTTATGGGCTGCCTGTGTACACAGTCCACATGAGCTCTGTCTGACCTGCTTGAGCACATCCAGTATGAGTTCTTGGAAGACCTCATTGATCCCCATGGACAGGGTCTGGCAGTTCATGCCCTTGCTGAAGTAGCCCATCCCCACCAGTTCAATCAGCTCCCAGGCATCCAGGCAGTTCTTCTTTGTGTTCAGCTGCAGCTTGTAATTTGAAAACTTCTCCTCGCTCCATCCGTTCCCCATGGCCTCAATCAGCTTTCGCAGGAAGTACTCGATCTGAGGAGATGGACAGACAAAAGAGCTTTGTTTGATTGTTAAAACCTATAATTACCACCTCGCAGTTGTGTGCCTCAACAAACCAGTCGACCCAGTAGCACAGAGGATCTCTGCAATCAGCACAGATTGAAGGTGGGCAACAAAGATTAGTGTCAAAAATCCAGTATCTGAAGTCTCCCCTTCTGTTTCTGAGTTATGGTGTTGAGTAAGGGCCAAAAAAGTGTTTTACGGAACATTATGATGTCACAGTGAAGCTGACCTTTGACCTTTTCCGGTGTAAAATGTCATAACATCATCATTTTATCCTAAAAGACATATGTGCATGTAACTTAACTTAACTCATAATTAGTGTAAGAATTCTTGAGTTATGGCCAGAAACATTTCTGGGAGGTCACACTGACCGTTGACCACCAAAATCTAATGAAATACGTCTTTACCACCCTCCTGGAATAGATGACATCATGATGGGATCTAATCGCCAAAGACCTTTCACATTTCTCATACTTATGTGCACATATAAATAAATATTATTTTCTCTCAGAACAAGTCTCTCCTGATTGGAATCACTTCATTGTTGAATCTAGGTTGACGTTTGTGCCAAATTTGAAGAAATTCTCTCAAGGTGTTCTTGAGATATTGCATTCACAAGAAGGGAACATAGGGACGGATGGACAGACAACCCAAAAATGTAATGCCTTCACACACAGCTGTCGCCAGCAGGGATGCTTAAAAAAAAAAAACCACACCCAGAAAACAACTGTAACGACCTTCCTCACCTCCTCAGTAATAATGACGAGTGGGTATTTCTCTTCTGACAGGAAGTTGAAAATGCACCAGATTTTGAAAGCATCGTCATCTGAGATGAGTAGATGTTTAGTGCAGATCTTTTTCCTGAAACACAGCGTCCAGCACATCTTGTTGAACTCCAGCACATCAAAATCCTCCTGTACCTGGGAACAAAAACGCACCATTCAGTCAGAGTCAAAGTCAAACTGGTCAGCACCAGTAAGGGCAGTGTGTTTACAAATGCTAAGCAGGAGACTGGTGTTTGTCTCCTTTCAGAACCTCCAGTCTGCAGGATGTGAGGTACAAACGTGATGCAATTAAAGGCCTCATTTTCATTCAGGTCAGAGCCTACGAGAGAAAGGCAAGAAAACAGCTTCCAAGTACAAAGAGTGAGACTCAAGCAGTTTGCTGACTGACGTGAGACTTCAACAGATGTGTGTTTGCAGTGTGTTACACTGTGCTCACTAAGCTACAGAGAAAAGGCCCCAGCTTTTGCGAAGAGAGTATAAAGACACAGCAAATTTTACTGACACATTAAACTACCAATCAATAAATAACTGACCAAACACATGGTTCTTGTGGGGAGAACAGAGAAGTGGTTGAGACCATTTCCTCTCCTACAGATCAAAACTGGTCATGATTAGTCATCCTAATCTGTGTCATACACTCTTCAACAGAGAAGAAGTGTGTGTTGATGTTTCTTTTCTATTTTTACTGTTTGTGTAAGTGTCTAAGTCGTTTTTTTACTGCGTCCATGACACCATACATAAAAACTGTCAAGGTCTTTGTGATCTTGTTTTCGTGTTCATTGATCCAATAGTTCCTGATTTCAAGATATTTATGCAAAGTTCTTGTACAGCTGCTTGTGTTCAGACAATATGTATTTTTATCTACTCCCCAAATGCATAGATGGGGCCTATCAGGCGCAGGTCAGGGGTCCAAAGTGTCAGGGGTGTCATTCGCCTTCATCTGCTGAATGTCACTCAAATTAACACATACTGACCCGAAAGAGACTCAAAATCACCACAAAAAGATGCAAATGAACTGCAAAGAGACACAAAATGACAACAAAAGGGGAAAAACAACCATGAAGAGACACAAATTAGGAATGGTGGTGGGGCCTTTTGCATATCTGTGCCCAATGTCTGCCCATGCCCAAATGTCCTTGATGGAGATCTGTGGTTACTTTTTTCCCCTGCAGACAGTTTACTGCTAAGCTAACTGATTCAGGCTAATGTGTTGCTCATACAACATAACTTAATCTACTGCTGGGAAAACTGTTACTGTAACAATTTTCTTTTTTTCACTTTTTTTCCTGTGAACGTTTCTTCTGGCCTCATCATAGGCGGACTGTGAGACAATGGGCCCCTGGGTGGGCACAGACATACAGAGGGCCCCACCACTTCCTCTACATAAGAGCGAGACACACAGACTTTGTAACTGTTAAGCCTGTTTTTGTAGTTGTTTCGCATCTCTCTGTGGTTTTCAGTCTGTTTGTAGTTTTTTTGTATGTGGTTATTTTGGCCCTTTTCCTGTCATTCTGAGTGTGTCTATAGTGGCTTTGCATTTCCCTATAGTCATTTTGAATCTCTTTGTAGTTGCTTTTCATCCCTGTGTAGTCATTTTGTGTCTTTTTATGGTTGTTTTGCCCATTTTGTAGTCTTTGTGGATGTCTTTGTAGTTGCTGTCATTCTGTCTGAAGTCGTTTTGCGTCTCTTTGCAGTCATTTTGAGTGTGCTTGTAGTTGTTTTTGCTCCTTTTCATAGTTGTGAGTCTCTCTGTTGCTGCTCTGCGTCTCTCTGAAGTAATTTTGTGTCTCTTTGTGCTCATTTTGAACCTTTTTGTAGTTGTTTTGCATCTCTTTGTGGTTGTTTTGCCCTTTTTTCGTAGTCATTTGCCCTTTTTCATAGTCGCAAACTCTGCACAGAAGGCTTTCTGTTTATTGTATTTCTTTGATCCTGCACCACTTCCACTGGACACAACTTTTTTATTGTTTCAACTTTTGTTTGTAACCTTTTCTTGGAAGTGTGCTCAGATCGCTGTGCACCTACACACATAGTGAGGGCAGAGGAAAGATATCAAGAAACAGAAAACACAGTTTTGGTGCCGACACTCATCACATTGGCACATGTATAAAAAATGTCAAGCTATACCCAGTTGAAATGATTTTTGAAAATTACAGTGTGTTGACTGGCTTAAAAACACATTCTCCTTTCAGCTTGTTTGTCCTCACCTTGTCCAGAATAAACTTGTTGAGGTAAGGCATGTAGCCCTGGTTGGACAGAGGCCCTTTATCATCATCTTTGAAATGTTCTTCAAGGGCCACAGGGTCATGAGGAATCTTCATCACTGTGCACAGGTTGTGGGACAGCACCTAAAGAACCACAATTTGAATATGAATTACATATAATATAGTACTGCAGGCGAGAGGACATATATTAGGTTGAGACACATCATTGTACAGTCACCAGTCTTGCAAAATGAATCTATGCGGGGGTAAGTTAAAGATGAAGCTCATGATCAGTCTCTCAGTTTTCAGATTTTGCTATCGCACATGCAAAACCATATCACTGACATTTACAAGCATCACCAGTCAAGCGTTACTTCTGTTCTTTAAAGTGAAGCCAATTCTTTTTACTGGTTGGTTCAGCTGTAAAAATAGAGGATTACGCCCAGATCCAGTGTTTCGGTTTGACTGTATAGCACTGTAGCTTAGATTCTGATAACCTCCTCATGCAAACAGTCTCCTCTGCTCTCTCTAAAGTGTTGTGATGGATAGATGATGGAATATTAGCTGTAAACTGGCCTTCACTGTGATGTAAAGACCATAAATAAATCTCCCAAAATAGTGACATTTAGAGATTTCCTGGCCACTCTGCAGTGTGGAGAGAGCATGTGTGAGAGATGAAAAGCCCTGCAGGATCCCTGAAGTCAGACTGTGTCTTTGTCAGGCTGGGCACATAGACGTCAGACCCAGCAGACAAACAAAATCTGGCCCAGGCTGTCATACACCACCTCTCTCTCCAGCCTTTGCTTCAGTAATAAAAGGCCTGTCACGTGTTTTTCAGTTTCTTCTCAAACAACAGAGACGGACTGAACATGCTAAACATTCTCCCTTTTTATAAACTACCTGCGACAAGTCCTACAAGGAAAATAAGCAGCAGCATTACTGCATGAATGGTGGATAAATGAGAGAATCTGACAATACAATATACTTGCATCTCTGTAGTATATAGTAAAACATGCAGTATGACTGTATAAATCCTGTGTGTGGCCACTGTAGCTCAAGTAAACACACTGATGTACAATGTAAAATTACTCCTTTACAAGCAAATAAGTTCTGCATTCAGCACTTCAACTATTTTATTATTACACACACTTAAATCTGATGCTTTTTGAGACCTTTTCAAGATATTTTTTAAGTAAATTTAAGACATTTTTTTTAATTTTTCTTATTCAAGCATTGCAGGTAAGCACAAAGGTAAGTAGTATGCGGTTTTATGCAGAGGTAGGTTTTGTGTGGGAATATGTTTATGAGAGTGAGTAAGGTTAATCTACATTTTGCCAACAGGTAAGCGCAAGTATGAAGTAAAAAGGTAGTATTAGGTTCAGCGGTAAGTTTAAGATTTGGAGCCTCAGTGATGTGGACTTTCACGCTGAAGTCATTTTGACAATAAGAAACTAAAAGATAGATCAATTAAATTAGATCATTTGTTTGTGGCAGTAAAGACCTCACAAATTCAAATTTTTGACTACTATAAAACTTCAATTACTAGCCTGGGCTATTATTTGCTAAAATCACTGAACTCAACAGGCTTGTATTTGGGATAGGCCCTTTCACATTAAACTGTTGCTCAGCAAAGATGGGAAATACAATCAAATTGTTATTTGAACCAGTATGAATATTAACTAGGCTTTGAATAACATGTCAGTTATGTGTTATGTTATGACACTTGTTAAACAGCACCCGAGGACAACACCACTTTATCCTGTTAAAACAATATTCGTAACATGAAAAGAACCTTTAATTCTTTTGATTGGTCGACCCTTACGGAATCATTTACCGGGTAATCAAGGGCCGGACACATATTCTGACTTAAAGACAGCTGCAGCTTTTTTGTCATGCTGGTAAATCTGAATGACTCAGGGTCCTGGTTTAAACATTTATATCTATATGTGTGATAAATAGTGTTCTGTTGATTCAGGATAACCAGTGAGTGTTGCCCGGTAATATATAAAGTAATAATAATCTACCAAGAACATTGTTTTTAATCTTTTTAAATAGTTTTAATCTCTCAAAATACAGCTGCAGCTACAACTATTATTTCTACAATTGTTTAGCACATGTGCCAACAAACCACACTCACATCTGACCCAACTCTGTGATGAAAATAGAGTTGCAGTGATACACTGGTTTCAAGGTGTACCGTGGTATAAAAGTTGACAGGTATCATACCGTGTGCATTTACTTATCTACAATATTGAAAAAAATGCAACTGGACATTTAGTTATTTTGTAAGTGGAGACTTTTTACACATACTTCCACTAACAAAATGGATTCAAGTTTCAATTATACTAATAAAATAACTCTTCCGTTTTCATTCCTTTACGGCTCATTCTGAAACCGTGATATTGTGAAACCAAATTTTCTGATGAAATTATGTTAGCCAGCTCCCATCACTCATCACAAACTTTCAAATCTTAAATCAAAATGTAGTTGATTCCTTTGCGTATTATCTAGAAATAACACTTTTTCAATATCTCTTTCTAACTCATTTTTTTATACGTTACATGTAAGTCCACAGACCCTTTTTTTTACTTTCGATACTACAAAACTGAAATGTCACCCTCACCAAAAAAAGCCGCTGACTTTCAGATGTTTTAACACAGTAGATGAGTACAGGTGTTTCAGTCCCTGTGACCTTTAAGAAACAGAAAATAGCTGTGTGCCAACCTACCCCAGTCTCCCCTACATCATGTTTTGTGTTCATATATTGAAATGTAAAAACTGAATCTGCTAAATAACAGGCAACTACTGTATATGTGTAAAATGAATGCAGTGATAACAAGTCCAGTATTCCCCTGAAATGCAGCTAAGCACGCAGAGTGGTTAAAGTGCCAGTGCCCTCAAAACTGTACTCCTACATGAACTTAGTTTCTACCACTGAGAAAAGTTACACAGTGCAGTTCAGGCGCATTTATTTATCGTCAAATGGTCTGAAGTTACGATGTGAGGAGAACAAGTGATACACACGCTCATGAAGTGTACAGTTAGTTTGGGTTCATGGGCGTCTCTGGACACAAAGAGAAAACAGAAGTGAAACGCACCTTTAACTGAGATTTGGAAACTTTCCCACGTTGATCCACATCCAGGGCTGTGAAGGCGTGCCATATGGATTTCAAAAGCTCCTCTCGAAGCCACATTTTGTCCCTCAGCAGCACCAGAGGAGGTCTGTCTGTCAGCTGGGTGCCAGTTTGTGTCTGTAGTCTCAGAATCCGCCTCCAAACACAGGCGCAGCGATAGTGGCGCAGCAGAGAGGAGAGTGGTGACAGCGCCACGCAACGACTATCAAAGTTTCTTTAACTCGCTGCACCACCCATCATGTGAATGTATTACTAACAGGAACAAGTTTCTTTATTTACAACGTGGTTGATTAAAAAAAACATCTTTTTAAAGGATATTTTATATATTTAATTAATTATGAAACTTTTCTTAAAGAGAAAACATTTCCTATATCGAGGTCAATTTAACTCTTTAATCAAACCCAGTCCTTAAGATACAGTGGGGACCAAAAGTCTGAGACCACATTGAAAATCTCTAATATTTCCAAGTAAACCTGGAAATGATCAGAAAATCTGAGGATTCAGAGACATTGATATACACAAGAAGCCATGACATGTGAAATGAAGAAGAACTATTAAGATCCAGTGCCATTTCTATTTCAGTTTCTACTTCTTTTTTATTTTTATTTTGATCAAGGTATTTTTATTTCTAAATATAAAAAAGCAGACGAGGTGATGTAACATTTTCTGGTGGACCCTTTAATGGTAGGCCTATCTATTTTTTTTAAGTGGATGTGACACATAGCCTCTCTAATCCACCATATGTTGGAGGGAAAATAAGCCTCCTGACCAACAGCCAGCTAAAGGCCACCATATCTATATAGCATCCAGGGAGTGGGTCATCAGCTGGAGCCACACCAAATATTGAAATCAGTGGGGATGGGTCTATTGTTTTCCCACATATTCTAGAGTTCAGCAGTCAAATTTGTTGCACTGATCATCTTCAGTCTTTTGTACAAAAGGTCAGATTTCCTTGGGTTGTATCCCAGTGGTCCATGCCAATGAGGAGAGGAGGAGAACAAATAAAGGAGAGGAGAGGAGGCCTACTTCGCAGTTTGGAGGGTAGATTGGTTTGTTTAATATTTTATTTATTCAGTGATGGATATTTATTACACAAACAACTGAAGTGTGCACACTGTGGCACTGTTTCCTTTGTTGTTGCCTGTTATCTGTTATAAATAAATGATGAATGTAGAACATGAATGTCTTTGTGAAACAGCTGCAAGGTATGTATAGCACAGATATTCAGACACCTCATATGTAATCTAGACAGACATTTCCCCACTCATTACTGTGCACATAAGTACTTAGGCTTCAAGAAACCCTCTGGTGCTGGCAGATTGAAACCTCCCAGCAGGGTGCACTTTGTGTGCACAACATTTTTTGTTTTGGTCTGTTTTTTCTCACCAGCATGTTGCATGCGAAAAAAAAAAAATGTGGAAGGAGTGTCCTGCTTTTCCATTTGAGCACCTGCCCTGCAAAATGTCTGTGCACGGTATCAGTCCCTTCCATACAGTGCCGGAGATTAAGGGAGGTACAGAATTAAATTACAAAATAAATGTCATTGTGATCAGTTGATGTTATTGAGAAAAAATTGTAATTAAATTGCAGTTACTGATCAAAATGTTGGTGATTACATAAGGGGTTACACCTGAAGACTATTAATATGAAAAATAATTAAATATAATAATAAAAAAATAATTAATTCTGTTGCTTTGCATCTTTTCGCTGTGCAGGAATACCTTCTTTGAGCATATTTCAGACGCATATGTTACATTACTTTGATGAATTAATTAAAATAGTTGCATTAATTATTACATTTTAACAGGGTAGCTCGTAATTTGTAACCTATTACATTTCAGAAGTAACCTTCCCAATTCCATTGAGCATTGCGTTCAGGTGACACACAGGTGTTTTTTTTCATCTGAGACTCATTCAAGTAACTCGACCTGCAGCCAGTGTTCACCTGTTATAAATACGGCTGTGCCTCAAGTTTCCAGCAGATAATTTCTTACTGTAGTGCTGTGATATTGGGAAACACGACATCAGAGCAAAGTGAAAGTGTCAGAGGTCAAACTCTTATTCTAAGCAAAGAGGAGCTTGTTCAGCATCTAATCATGGCTAGACTGAAGGTTTCTAAGGGGCATGGAACCCTTTAACACTTTGCAACAACTACTTGACTGGCTGCAGCTTAAGATGTAATCAGAAAATTGATCCTCAGCTCCTCCAGTCCAGTTTAGCTGAAGTATCCTTGGGCAAGATGTCGAGGATACTGAACCCCAAACTGCTCCCAAGAGCCGTGCAATCTGTGTGTAAGTGTAAGACGGGGCTGCTCCTAACTAGGTAAAATGAACAAGTCATTCTGAGGGGCAGGAAACTGAATTTGACTCTTAATTGGCCACAGTCAACTTTTGGATATGGCTAGATTAATCTTGTAGTTTATCTATGCTTAAGTACTCGTTGTGCTGAGTGGTAAACTGATCCCACACATCACATAGAATATAAGAACAAACTATACTTTGACTCAAAACAGGTCCCCATGACGAGGTAATAAAGCACAATTTACCTTAAGGCATCAGCTGATATTGTATCAGTGGTAAATATTCTTAGACTGGTGATATGTCTTTTTCAGAGCAGACAATAGACAAGAGCTGCAACAATGAATCAGCTAGTCAACTAATAAATTAATCACCAACTTATTTGATAATCCATTAATCTGTTTGAGTAATTTAAAAAAAGTTAAAATTCTCTGATTCCAGCTTTTAAATGGGAATATTTTCTGGTTTCTTTGCTCCTTTGTGACAGTCAGCTGAACATCTTTGGTTTGTGGACACAACAAAGATCACTTCTCACATTTTATAGACCAAACACCAAATCAGTTAATTGAGAAAATAAGCAACAGATTTATCTACAATGAAAATAACAATTAGATGCAGCCCTAATTTTGACTTGTCGTAATAGGAAAAGCTCCATAACTTCAATGAAGGCTCTTTTCATGTGTCTCAGTGAGCCAACATGCACAACACAGGACCCATAGAAAATAAATGGAATTCAGCCATTGCTCATTATACTATTTACATCTGTGTCTTTCCTAATGAGGTCTTAAAATGTCTTCTCTGGATAAATAGCCTGGATTTTGGGCTTTATCAAACTGCAGTGCTGTTGTATCATTTGTATCCAGTGCCTGTTGTGTCTTTATACGTCAGGGCTGCACAAAGAGGGGTCTGTCATAAGGTGTGATTTGGCCCCCCAGATGTTTCTAATGCAAATGATTTCTAAATTAATTTTTAAGAAGTTAGGATATTAATCAGTTTATACTGTTTTATTTATTGTGAGGTAAATATGCTCTTTGTAGGATATGTAGGATCCCTAATTATTCTGGGTTTTTTTTTTTGTTTGTTTTTTAAATCTGAGCACAGAGACACTTTGGCACAACTGGGGTAATGGACAGGCAGAGGCCTTTCAATTTACCCTCTGAAACCCCTTAAAAGGGATGAAGGCAATGAGCAACAAAAAAAGAAATGACCCAAAAAATTAGCAAGAAATTAGTAACAAAAACAAACAAAAAAACAAACAAGGAAATTACCTTGATAGAGTGCTTAAAAATCATAATAATTCTGTAACATAATTTTTTAAATGTAATACTTAATGTTTGAAATACAGTTTTTCCTTTCTTTTTCCCTACTATTTTTTCAAAGGTTTAAATACTTGCTAAAGACGTCTAAAGGTACAAGATACGTTACGTCACTCCAGGTTTGAAAGGCTTAAGGGAACCTGGGATCCTCGTCCCATTTTACATCTTAACGATACAACATGTGTTTGCTTCTGGCCTGTGGCCCTCCATTAAGTTTCAGTTTTGGCCCTCCAAAAGAGAAAGTGTGAGTGAAATGTTCGCATCAGCTTGTCAAAGTGATTCTTTGAACATATTTTTGTTTCAGAGCTGCTGTGTTGGACCAAAACATCTAACCAGGCTTGTGTGTACAAATATGACAATGTTAAAAACACCAAACTGCAACTCTGTGATCAGAGGAGTGCTCTGCACTCTGGTGGAAAGTCATCTCTGTTCATCTCAAAGCTTCACTGGCTGGATTGCTACTTATCTGCTCAAAGATTGTACACCAAATGCCTCGTTCTAGTTTTGAAGCTGAATATACCACGAGAATGTTGTCTGGCAGGTAATATTACGTCCAACCCTTTCACGCAGTATTTGAAAAATATCAGGTTTTGCATCACACCAAACATTTTCGAGTCAGGTTGAAGAACTCATTTGTTCCCAAGTCTGTAAACTCATTAAATCAGAGTACAGCTTCTGTGTAGTGTTCAAAGTACATGTAATAGGAATGTTTAATTTGTGGCACTGCATCCACTTCCTGTGATGTCTGGTGTGATTTGTAACGTTTGTATTGTGGTTTTATAGTTGGGTTAAATGTTTGTAGTTTTGTATTTATGTCTTTTGTTTTTACAGATTATTTTTTGGCTTTTATTACAGAGCAGCTAGAGCATGACAGAAGGAGAGAAAGGAAAGGGGATGACACGCAGCAACGTTCAAACCTGGGCTGCTGCAAAGACCTTAGCCTACATGGGGTTGATACTCTACTCGCCAAGCCAGAGGCTGCCCTGTATTCATGTGTCTTCATGTGAAACATTTGACGTTCTGGACACAAGACAAATTTCAGAGTTTTTTCTAACAATAAAGTGAAATCAAATCACATTTGACTAAAGTAAAAGTGTTCACTCATTAATGACACACTTATAAAATACATTTAAAGAGCAAAAAAAGTGTATAAGGAAACACTCTGGGTCATAGATTCCCTTAGCTTTTTTCTTTTTTTAATATGTTGTATATATAGATGGTTCATCCATACACCAACCAAAAGCTTGAGACCTTCATGAGAAGTCCAATTGTACATGCTTCAATGATGTATTCAATTGTACTTTCAGTGCTCACAAACACATGTCCTGTAGCCATACTGAACACCAAGAGCATTCTCTTTTTTTTTTTCCTGAAATCAAAAGTTTCCGAGTTGCCCACCGATTCCACTCTGTAACCAGATGCGTGACAACCAGCCATTACAGAAGTCGCTTGCAAAGTAACAAAGTTACAGCTGTTTTCATTTTTAAATAGTCTTCAATTTAAAAAATTTGCAGTCTGATACAGAAGGCTAGGAGACCTGAAC